TCCTGAATGGTAGGGTATATCGCCACCTGCAGGAGTAGGACGCTAGGCACATAACAAAAGACAAGACAGCCTAGGGGCGGCCCCTGCTGGTGGCCCAACCCCCCACTTGCTGACAAGTTTCCAGCTTTTGCCTAGGGTCAGGAGTAAGCTAAACATTTTTCTCTGGAGAATTTTTTTCCTTTCTTCCGTTTTGAGTCGATTTTTCTTCTAGCAAGTGTCCCCAGGACGACATGCTGGATGACTGTAGATCCTTGTAGTCTCCCCTGGGTGACCGGCGAGCGCATGCAGACTCTGCTACGGTGGGTCGGCTGCGACAGGTGGTCCTCCCTGACGCCTATGGGATTCGTCCCCTGGTGGGGGCCCTGGCCCACCGGTCACGGCTCTTCCCGCAGGCTGGCGACGCTCCTACCGGTACCCTGCTTGTCCTGGATCCTGGTCTCTCGCTTAACAAGGCTACGGTTATTCCGGTGGAGGATTCTCCGTCCTTTAAGGACCCCTCCGATAGGAAGGCTGAGGCGCTGTTGCGGACTCTGTATTCTGTCTTGGGTGCTCTCATGCGTCCGGTCTTGGCTTCGGCTTTGGTCTCTCAGACTCTGACGGAGTGGGCTAAGATGTTGCATCAGGGTCTAGCGGAGGAGAATGTCCCTCCCGCTTTCATGGATTTGGCGGACCAATTGGTGCAAGGCCTCCGTTATGTCTGCAATTCGGCCTTGGTGTCCAAAGTGTCGCTGTCGGCGGTGACTCTTCACCGTTTACTTTGGCTTAAGGGCTGGTTGACTGATCAGGCTTCCAAGAAGGCTCTACAGCAATTGCCCTTTGCTGGGGGCTGTTTGTTTGGTTCCACCTTGGACGAGATCATTAAAGATCTGACTGGGGGTAAGAGTACCTTCCTTCCCCAGACGCGCAAGAAGGAGCCGCACCGGAAGCCTGTGCCTACTTTCTCCGCTCACAAACGGCTTTTTCACAGATCCTCCGCTTCCCAAGCCCCCAGGTGTCCGTGGCAGCCTAAGTCGGCCAAGCCCGCCGGCAAGCCGCAGTCCGCATGAAGGTCGAGCCCCGGCTCTGGTTGCCAGGGTGGGGGGGGGGCACCTTCAGCTCTTCGCGGATTTTTGGTTGGCCCACGTTTCCGACTCTTGGGTCCGGGAGCTGGTTTCTTCGGGCTACAAGATCGAGTTTCTGTTCCGTCCGGGAAACCGGTTCTACCCGTCCAACACGCGACTCTCTCCTTCGCGGTTGCCGGATCTCCGTCGCGCTGTGGCGGACCTTTGTCTCAGGGGGTGATTGAGCCGGTTCCGTCCTCGGAAAGGTTCAAAGGGACTTATTCAAACCGGTTTACCGTGCCCAAGAAAGAGGGGGTGCGGCCCATCCTGGACCTCAAACACCTTCGTGCTGTTCAGTCAGTTCCGGATGGAGTCGATTTTGCTCCGTGAGGGCCTGGCTTCGTCGGGAGGGGGGGGGGGGGGGG